TCCTTTTTAAGATTCCATACCTCTTAGAATTGAGAACAGCTTATTGGAATTATTGTAACTTAACACATTTTCTAGCATAAATTAGTACTTTTGAACTGCCAATTCTGTGACTGTTAGCATTAGCAAGAGGGGAGAAAAGTTAAGTGATGCATCTCTTCTACAGTATATGGTCAATACTCATTATCTTCATTAGAATGTCTAATATTCATCTCACACTATGTCCAAAACTGACTTCCTCATCTTCTCCCAGAAAACCTGTTCCCACTCAGCCCATCTTATTTCAGTTGATGGCAAGTCTGCATTCTAGAACATAAACCTCAGTGCCATCCTTGATTCTTCTGCTTGTTTCACATTGTACATCCATTTATTTTTTTTTCAGGAAAACCTATTGATTCTACTTTCAGAACATATCCAGATGCAGACAGCTTTTTCTCTTCTCTACTGCCATCACTGTGGTTTGAGTATCCACTGTCTGTCTAGGTTACTAAGCAAGCCTCTAACAGTATCTCTATAGCTGCCTTTGGCCCAGTACAGTTTTGGTAGCCAAAGTAATCCTGGAAAAATGTCAAATCATTCCACTTTCTGCTCAAAGTCCTACAGTGGCTATTTTCTCAGAGTAGGAACTAAAATATATACAATAGCCTACAACTCTCCTATCCCATTACCTCTCTGACCTCATTTCCTGTTCCTCTTCCCTTCAGACCTTCTGCTTCCTCCACTCTGGCCTCTCTGCTGCCCCTCACACATTCTAGGCATGGTCCTACTGTAGGGCCTTCTGTTTGGGATGCTCTTCTCTGAGAGCTGGATGGTTAACTCCTTAAAGTATTTGCTCAAATGTCAGTTTCTCAATGGTGCATTCTGTGACTATGCTAATACTGCAAACCTAATCTCTACTCTCCATTCCTAATCCCTCCTAACCTAAGCAGCTTTACATTTTTCTATAGGATTTATCATATTTTAACATATAATTTATTTAGTTATGCTTATTGCATGCCTCTCCAGCTAGAATTTGAGTGGCACAAAGGCACGAATCCTTGTTCAGTTTTGTTCACTGATGTATCCCAGTGGCTGGAAGAAAAACTGTGCATTAAATGAGTAAATGCATCATTTGAACTGTGTGTCTTCTATATCCCTGAATTATTGAATTAAAGAAAAATTTAGTTTTATGAAAAGGTATCAGATACATAGGTGGAGTGTCCACAATCTAAATTACAAAGAGCACCGAGTTTTAGATGAGTATAGGATAATTATGTCACAGGATTGTTGTGATCTTTAAATGATGCACATGGAAACAGTCAAAAGGCATGAATTACGGGTATATATATGCCAGCTCACCGGTGTACATAAAATAAGGCCTCAAATAGAGGGTATAAATTTTTTTTTTTAACAAATAGTTTATTGTCAAATTAGTTTCCACATAACACCCAGTGCTCATCCCTACAAGTGCCCTCCTCTATGCCCATCCCCCTCTCCCCCAACACCCATCAGTCTTCAGTTTGTTCCCAGCATTCAAGAGTCTCTCATGGTTTGCCTCTCTCCCTTTCCCCCACCTTTTCCCCCCTTCTTCTCCCCCTTATTCCTCAGTTATGTTCCTCCTAATCCTCCTATACGTGCAAACATATGATATTTGTCCTTCTCTGCCTGACTTATTTTGCTCAGCATAACACCCTCAAGGTCCATCCATGTTGCTACACATGGCCAGATTTCATGCTTTCTCATTGCCATGTAGTATTCCATCGTATAGATAAACCACATCTTCTTGATCCATTCATCTGTTGATGGACACTTAGGCTCTTTCCATGTTTTAGCTATTGTGGAGAGTGCTGCTATGAACATTGGGGTACATGTGCTCCTATGCCTCAGCATTTCTGTATCCCTTGGGTAAGTTCCTAGCAGTGCTATTGCTGGGTCATAGGGGAGTTCTACTGTTAGTTTCCTGAGGAACCTCCACACTGTTTTCCAGAGGGGCTGAGGTACAAATTGTTATAAGCCTTTAGAAACTACTTATCTGCTTCTTCTATGATGTCATTCCTCTGAAGACCCCCTTCTAAGTTTGAAAAGGTGAGCAATTAAACATTGAAAATAGGGAAAAAGCTCTGTAAATGTTTATAAATATTAGCAAAAATTACATTGCATTCATTTTTAACAAGGAATATTGAAATCACAACAAATGATGATGATTTGTGAACTTAGAATGGGAGGATTGACAACTGTATTTACGTTTGGCTGTTAAATGCCTGCTTGACTTGAGAGACTTGAATTCTGGCCCTATTACCCCTTTTGAAAAATGTAGTTTGTTTTCAGTGTGTAATAGCTTAGTAAATTTACATATCTGAACATTGAGCACAGAATCTAGTTTTCCTTTTCCTTCCCTCTCATTTGTTTTTGTAAAGGTACAAGTAAGTTCTCTACAGAAAACGCAAAACAAAACCAAAAATGTGGGTTCATGACGTATTATCTAATTAATCCCTGGTACTATTTCTTTTCTCTGAAGTACTAGTAACTGGTTGAGAAGACTGATATTATTGGCATGGTATGTATCCTATTAGGCCAGGCATTGTAGGGAGTGCCAGCTTAGCAAGTGGGGCATCCTGGAAGCTGACAGAACACGAGACAATCGGTGTCTAATATGATTACTGAATGAAGTGGTTCAGGTCTCTGTCTGGGGAATTAGCCTGTGAAGCTCAATGATGACTTTTTATGTTATCTTTACAATTACAATGACTTTTTAAAAAACATTAAAAAAAATTTTTAATGTTTTATTTATTTTTGAGAGAGACAAAGAGAGACTGCATGAGCAGGGGAGGGTCAGAGAGAGAGACAGAGATACAGAATTGGAAGACATGCTCCAGGCTCTCAGCTGTCAGCACAGAGCCCGACGCAGGGCTCAAACCCATGAACCGTGAGATCATGACTTGAGCTGAAGTCGGACGCTTAGCCAGCTGAGCCACTCAGGCGCCCCTACAATAACTTTTGATCTCCTTCTTTATTTCTGCTTGCTGCTACTTTTTTTTTTTTTTTAAATGTTAACATATTTATTTTGAGAGAGAGAGAAAATGCATGTGAGTGGGGAAGGGGCAGAGAGAGAGGGAGAGACAGAAAATCTTAAGCAGGTTCTACTCCCTCTGCGCAGAACCCACTGCAGGGCTCTATCTCACAAACTGTGAGATCATGACCTGAGCCGAAATCAAGAGTTAGATCCACTATTTGCTTCTACTCCTGATCCTAAACCTGGAAGAAGGAAAGAGGAAGGTTTTTATCGGTGGCACTGGAAAATGACAAAGTAATACAGGTTGACTTCAGTTAATACAAAAGACGTAATCAACTTCAAAGGAAGAGTGAAAGTACTGGCTACAGCATATCCATGTTATCCTAGGTATAACCTTTATGCCTAGGACAGTCCTGTGTATCACACAGCTCAGTCCTCGTGCCATGTGTGCTGCTCTGTAATGCTAGCTGTCACTTATCTTCATCAGAAAGACTTCAGTTGCTTTGTTAGTAATTTGTTGCAAAAAATGGGCAAGTCAGATAACTTTTCAAATTGGAAATACAAACTTAACAATGGTCAAAACATTAAGGCAAAGTAAATATCCAGTAAAACTGTTATTCCTAGAAGCAGAGTACAAGATCTAGTACCACACCCTTACTTTAGATGACGGAGACGCCTGTTACGTTTAGATCATTTTCATTTTGGTTATTATGCCAGCTCTTTTCATTGTTCTGCTTATTGATTTATGTTTTTCTCACAGCTTGTGCCACTGTTAGTTTATCTTAGAACTAAAGAATCTGGGAAAAGATTCAAGTCTTCTGACTGTGTGTTTCCTGAAGTTTCCTAGATTTGAGTATACAGCAATAAGCTGGGATCTGGTAGACTTATTAATACAAAACTACAGGCGTATGTCATATATCTATATGTACATGTTATATTTATATGTTGAAAAATGAATATGTATATATTTATATGGTCTTCTATATGAGCTTATAATTCATAATTATAAGAAGCGATTTTTTTTTAAAGTAAATCATTTGTTGAAACCCCCTCAAACACATAACCCCCGAGGTCAAGAAGTATCATCAGTTTACCCTGTGAAGTTGATTTTTGAACATTTACTTGAAATAATGTAGCAACCTATTGGACTCCATTACTTGGGAAAGTATTTCCAGGTCTAACTATTTGTAAAGCTAGCTATTCCCCTCCCACATAAAGAGTTCACTTGAAATAAAAAGAGAGAGTAGCTTCCCCTCCCATGAGAAAGACACTGCCAGAAATCAATATGGTCTGTTACTTATGCTTCACTATCTGTTAGTGTTTTGAGAATATTAATCATATATAATGTTCTAACACAATTTTTGGCATTATATACATTAGCTATTTGTACAATAAACTATTTTTTTGTGCCTTAACAAATGTCAGCTACTAGAAAAAAATTGCTATAATTTAAGGAATTGATAAAGAATTAACAAAAGCCTTCTTCTTTATGAAGGTTATCTCTGGGTTCCCCTTCCAGCAGTTTCAGGGGAACCTTGATACTAGTAAAAACAAGCCCTGATGGGTAACCAGCCTCTGGACTGGGAGGAGTATGGATGCACCATTCATACCTAACCACAGCTTTGGATTTCACTAAGTGAAGTGTGCTCTTTGTTACCAGGCATATCCCCCTTCATGAAAGCTGTGTTCAAGAGATGTTTCAAGTTGGAGGCAGTGTGGTTCCAACAGCATCTGTTGTGCTCTCGCTGCCTGACACCCGACCTGTCCCTAGTAGGGGCTGGAGAATGGTCCTTGAATTCCTCCTCTGAAGAGCTGTGCCTGAAAGCTCTCCTGCTGACCTCCCTCTGCAGAGCTAGATTCTGTCAGACTTTGGCCCGTCGAGTCTTGCGAACTAGTTTGATCTGCTAAAGCCAAGAGCACTGCTGCTGGTTGAATGAAATGGGCAGTGCAACTCTCATAAGTATTTCATGTGAAAACATAATAACAACTACTCATTCTCTTTATTTTTCAGAAATGTGTTACAGACGAGTGTTTCTTTTTTGAACGATTGGAATCTAATAACTACAATACTTATCGGTCAAGGAAATACTCCAGCTGGTATGTGGCACTGAAACGAACTGGGCAGTATAAACTTGGACCCAAAACAGGACCTGGGCAGAAAGCTATACTTTTTCTTCCAATGTCTGCTAAGAGCTGATCTTAATAGCAGCATCTGATCTCATCTCACATGAAGACATAGATTTTAGAAATTTGTGAAAGAAGAAAAAAATGCTCAGTTTGGATAAATGATCAGATAACCTTTTATCTAACAGTAAATATTTAACCATTGCCTTAGTAAAGAAAAGCATCCGAGATCCCTGGAAAAAGTATAGACTTCCACCTTTTATATAGCATTTGCCTTTATCCAGTGAAGCTTGTGTAGAGCAACAGTCTTTTTCATATATTTGCTTCATTTGAAAAGAGGCTTTTAAAAACAAGTTTTCCTCATGGAAATTATACACAGTAGAAAATTAGTCATATATTAGTTAACCCCAAATGTCCACTACTTCTTGTAATATGGAACGCATTATTCTACATATATAATTTACTTAAAAATTTTTAAAACACACAAATAAGGATTTAATCCATTCCTATCATAGTTCTATAATTGTCTGGCAGTTTCTTGTGATAGAGTTTATAGAACAAGCCTGTGTAAACTGCTGGAAGTTCTTCCACGGTGAAATCAATCTTGTCAAACCCTTCTCTGTACCCGTAGAGAAGCAGCCTAGCAACTCTGCTGGTGATGGGAGTTGCGTTTTCAGTCTTGACCAGGTCATGGAGATCCATCCACTCACACCTTAAGCATTCATGCTGGCAAAAATTTATGGTGAATGAATATGGCTTTAAGCGACAGATGATATACATATCTGACTTTCCAAAAGCTCCGGGATTGGTGTGCTGTTGCCGAATGCTCAGAAGGGACCTGAATTCTGATTTTACACCAGTCTCTTCAAAAACTTCTCGAACTGCTGTGTCTCCTATATAAAAGATGTACAAATCAGTAAAGATCACATTTTTAGAATTTTAATCATCAAAGTATTTTAGATAATATAACATTATCTAAAGGCTGAAAAGCAAAACTTCATCCTAAGGAAGTATTCAACATAAACTCCTTGCCTTCTGGACATCCTGAAATACCAAGGTATTTTCTTACCACTGTATAACTAAGAAGCTTTTGAGATACTGAATAGTTCTTTGGCTAGTTGTAGGCTTACCCACCTGTATATTTTTGAAGTCACATTTTTAATCTCTTCTTGCTCTTTCCCAAAAGTTGAAAACCTAGGTTCCTGCAGTTAATATTCCTACATATTTCTTCATTATTATCCTGTTCCTGCTCATCCATCAAAACTGTCTACTATATGTTTCAGTATTTAAAAAAAGTGATCCGTTCTTCCTTATAGAAGTCTGTAGAGCTGCAGAATGATTGAATGGAGCAGTGTTCAAAGCTTTCCTGGTGATCTTCGGTGGAACTGTCAAGCCACCGAAGCCATAGAACAGATCGATTTATAACCATTTTGTTATGCTCCCGTAGTTAACCTGTCATTGGAATTCCAGTATGGTCATCTGGGGCATTTCCTTTGTTTCTTGAGATTCCAAAGAACTTGGATTCATTCCTCCAGCACCAACAAGCTACAGTCACATTATCAAAGGTGTTCAAAAAACTTGCAATTTACAGAATTTTGTAATAATACAACTAGGATTTCACATTTTATAAGGCTGAGTTTTTCAATATTATGCAGATTTCTAGGGCAAAATTTTTATTGTGACTAACATTTTTGTGGTTGCTTTTTCTAAATCTCCAGATGAACCCCCTAAAAGGGCTTTCTCTAATTTTGTGATGCTCTGTCAGAGTCTCCCAAAGTGTTTCATGAAAAACCTTTTATAAAGCTGCCTTCTTTGCCCAGTTTCCTGGGAAGCTTCCTAATTTCACAACCGCCACAGATTTTTGCTCAAAGACCCTTCTATTTCCTTGTTTGCTATATTGAAAATTTTACTTGTCTTATCAGTACTACTGGTGAAGAATAGGTAAGGAAGAGGAAGTCCAGGAAAAATGTCTCAATTTCTGACTAAAGACTGTCTTAACAATTTCCTACATATGCTGTTTTTGTTTTTTTTTTTTTTTAAACCCTAAGAAACCGCTCTGGAAATATGCACAGGAAGAGCAAAAGGTCCTAAAATGAGACATTGGTCTGTTATTTTGATTTGCATGCTGACTTCTCCTTCCCTTGAGATTTGCCATAAATTAAACCTGGTTAGAAATTACTGTTTAAAACTAAAAACATAAAAGAATAATTTGTGTTAATAAAAGGAAAATCTAATAAGAAAAACAACTTTCAGCCTGGCATGCAATACATGTTTGTTACTAAATTTGTTAGAAGGTTGCACTAGTCTTAAATTTTACATGTCATTTGCTGATTTCACTTTATTGCTTAAATGCTTATTTTTTATTCCTTCAATGCTTTGAAAATTAACCACCAGGGTCCTGTTAAACTCTTAGTACCATTAATTAAGAGTCTGGCATTTTGTTTGGAGTCTAGCCTTTTTGTGCGTAACGGAAGCGCAGTACAGACTCATGAGTGAATCTACCCTACTCAGCAGACATTTTAGACAGTGGATTCAAATTCAACACTGCGTGAGTAGTTTGATCAGTTTAACTTTAATCAAGATTATTATTGACTAGACTAAACAATGAGTGGGTAGATAAGTGCTTTTTCAGCCAGGGTATGAGTGAGCTCATCCACCTCAAGATGGAAATCTTCACCCCAAGGCTTTCACCATGATTTTAAAAATTTTACCTAGATAAACTGCTTTATTCTGTTTTACCTTTATTTTGTACTGTAAGCTGAACTAACATTATTGTTTTATATGTGTCCTAGTGTTTTGTTTAGTTACAAGACAGTGAAATGGAGTTTTATTTCTATTTTGTAATATTTAACAATAGGATTAGGTTGGAAAAAAATTGGAAAAATGATGCAGAATGTGGGTTTTCCTGGTGTTTCCCTCTGATTCTGGTGCACTGATTAGCTCTGATCAGAACCTCACTACTTTACAGTCCTTTTCCTATGCAGGGGATCCTCTTCCTGTGACTGGTAATATTTTTTAGGAAGGCAACTTATCCATTTTTAACCTTGTAAATCCTTTTGTACTGTTAGGGTGTTACATTAAAGCCTGAGGATTGCATTCTATTTTGGAGATGCTCCCCCCCCCTTAATTTTTTAAGCACTATGGACAATAGTGCTTCATTTATCTAGTATTAACATAGAATTAAGGATTCCAAACAAATGTTTCTTACATACTTAATACAGGGTTTAAAGAAAGTAATTTTAATAATTGTTGGGTGATTTTGCTTCATACTTAAGAATATTGTATTAAAAGACAAATGCTCTGATATATAAGATATGGTCTTTTAGAACGCTATTGTCAGCTATCATTTCTAGCTGCTTTCAGGGTTTTATCAGTTCTAAGGCAAAGCTTTAATTTATAATATTCCTAGGCAATATGATGAATGCCAGTTGCTGCTTCTAATTCCACATGGTTGAGGCATATATATGTTGTTAAAAATAGGTGGGTTGTTGTGACAACGACAAAAATTTAAATTCAGGATTCACTACTTTAAAAAATTTTTAATCTGGACTTAAAAGTTCTGGAGTATACTTAAACCTAAAATTATGCATACATGGCTTGGAAATGTGTTCATTTGCATTTAAATAGAAGTACATTAAAAATTAAGGATCCATAAAAACTCAAAAAAGTCCATTCATTTAGGAAGGCAAGACTCAAAAGAAGAAACTAACAAACCTCCTGTGGCCTGATTTTTGCCCAATATGGACTGGGTGAAGATAGAAAATAAATTTAACTAGCTCACATACACTGTCGTAGATCACATTAGTATGAAATTAAGTAGCTGTTCCAAAGTAAATGGCCCTTTCAGCATATGCATTACAAAATCTTTTATTTCCAAAGAAGACCTAAACAATGGAATTTAAGCAGAAGGTCCCTTAAGTACCTAAAAACCCAAATCTGTTATGGATGTATTTCATTGTAGTAAATTTACTTCTGGTTTGTTGGGGGTTGGCTATATACTGTGTAAGGGGCATTTTACTCTGTAACATTAAAAAGAAATCAAATTTCAAGTATATAAATATTTTAAGATGTGTACAGATAATTTAGGAAGTTGCCTTTATATATAAATGTTGGTTAAATAGGGAATTGTGCATATGGAAGAAACAATCATGGAGAAATAATACTGGTATCAAATGAGTCCTCTACTGATTTATTATTATGATAGACTGCAACTGACTCAGTGGTTAAGGAATATGTAGGAAAACTTCATTTTTACCCTACTCTTTACTGTAACATCAGTAACATGTAAAGTTATTAGCTTATTTCACATTTCCCAGTTTTAAATATTGAGGTCAGGGAGTTGTTTTAGGGAACTCCCTCTCTCTTTTGAGACTTTCTTATATGAGAGTTTTGGCTTCCTGACTATTTAAATAGATAAAATTATTATAAAGGGGAGAATTAAGTCAGTAGTGCTCTGTAAGTGACTTTTAAATGAACATCAAAATAAGTATTTATAAAATTTGTATTTGTGTCTTCTTATAGTTTAATTACAGGAAAAATATTAGTCCTATCCAAAATAACCCTTAATGCTAAACTTTACCAATGTATATATATATAAAGCTTTTTATTTTCAAATAAGTTAATCTAGAAGCAATCCTAAACAGAACAGGAGGTATGCGCCTAATGGTATTTTTTATACTAATGGAATAAGTTGTAATATTACAAGTTTTGCTGCTAATTTTATATTAGCCCTAAAGTAACCTCTGAAATTTCTCAGAAAATTTATCATCTTATTTTCAGCTATAGAGCTAAAAAGTAAACACAAATTTCCTGAATTAAAAATTAAAATTAAAATAATTTAATTAAAAATATGTAGGGTACACACCAATATCTTCTCCAGGCTCTGACAGACCTCCTGGAAACTTCCACATATTTTTCAGCTGCAATATAAAGCAAGAAAGAAAATAAAGTTAACACAGCTTCAGTTACTAACCCACACATGGAGACGCCACAAAAATTGGTCAAGGGATTGAGAATTTATTTTTTAGCAAAATTACATGCAAATTTCTTTCATCTTCCTTCCTCACTCCTCCCTTTCTTTTTCCTGGGGGCACTGGTGACTTATGAAATCATTTCCTACCTTTTTCTCTAGGAAATAGAAATGGTTTTGTTTGGTTAATGTGATAAATTGTGTATGAATGAAACAGTAGAGGGAAATACCTACTGAATTTATGTAATTTTAAAAATTTTGCTGCTAGTTAACTATTAACAAATAGAGGAATCTTACAGATGCTGCTATAAATAAGTAGAAAGTACAATATAAATTTAATAACTAAAATATGCTATTTTTGATTTTCACATTTATTTTCTGTACTGTGTCTAATCAGATTTCTCTTGTCTGTGTGTTAATGATTTTATGTACAAATGTAATTGCTTTTCATGGGTAGTATGAATAAATCTGATTAAGTTTGTGCTGTTTTGTGTTGTGTATACCATTTCATTTTTTGGCTGGAAGGGCAAGCGGGAAGATCTGATCTTACAATGAGGATATATAGGGAAAAAGTTGACTACAAATAATTATGAAGTGGCATGGGACCATATTATGGCTGACATGATTATTTTTTCTGTTAGAATTGTTATATATATCCAACAACAGGGTAAAAATTGGGTGAATGATTAAAAAATTATGACCTACTCATAAAAGGTGCTAAAGATTGGAGCCAGTACACTTTATGCTGTTCATTCATAAAACAAGTTTATGGACCTTTTACTGGTGTGCTTTTTGACCCACTCATTTCCTGGATGAGTGCTTCATAAAGAATGTGTCATTTCCCAACTCTGCTATGTTGGAGACCAAGGGCATAGTTCCCAGATTTTCCACAGACTGTTGATTATGTGGGTACAGAATTCAGGCTTTCCACCCTTCCGTGTCTGGCTCAGACTTGAGATTAATTTATAAAGCATATTTTATTAATGTAAATACATCTCTGATATAGCTCTACATTAATACAGTCTTACAATATTCTGTTTTGAAATGGTTCCAGAAGCTACAGAAACCATGCAATTTTTTTCCTGATAGGATGTTAGATTTTACATCTAACATCATAAATGCTGTTTCTAACAAAAGAAATGTTACAATGGTAGGGCAGAAAATGCTTCCCCAAAATAATACAAGAACTTTTAAAATCTTTACCTAGACTTGACTATAAATAATTGGAGATTGTTGACTTTAAAACTTATTAGAAGGGGAAAATGTTAGATGTAAGGATTGAAAACAGCTTACACAAATTTGATTTTGATTATTTCATAAAACTTAGGTACAAAAAGATTATTATTGTGGTAGTTATGTGATCTTTTCTGGCACCACTTAGTTTTAAAGAGATTATCTGAAAAAAACTTTCTTGTCCCCTGCAAAAAGCTTGAACCTGCAGTTAGTTCAAGTGGTAGGTAGTAAGACCTAAGTTAAGTGGTTTATGAAACCTGTATCTATGACCAATGGAGAGATGAGTGTATCTTCTCACCTTTTAAAATACTGAAATTAAAATCTATTTTGAGTTTTTGTGTGTAGTGTTAAAAAGTGGTCCAAATTTATTGTTTCACATGTAGCTGTCATTTTCCCAGCACTATTTATTGAAGAGACTGTCTTTCCCCATTGTATATTCTTGCCTCCTTTATCATAAATTAATTGACCATATAATCGGGTAGATTAAAAAACAAATTAACTGGGCTTAGTAATATAAATAATAATGATAACAGCAACTTCCAGGGAAGATGGCAGAGTAGGAGGACCCTGAGCTCACCTTGTCCCCTGGATACACCTAGATAACACCTATATCAGTATATATAACCCAGAAAACAACCCCAAGACTGGCAGAACTGACTCTTCACAGCTAAATGTAGAGAACAGGCCACACAGAATAGAGTAGGGAGGGCAGAGACATGGTCTGGAGCATTTGGCTTTGAAAACCAGAGGAGCATAATTTTGAAAGTTCCTACAATCAGCAGGGCTTAACAAATGGAATGATCTAAAACTCAGCAGGCTGGGCTATGGAGAGCCTAAAGGGGAATATGAAACTGAGTCTCGCACTTAAAGGGATAGCACAACAGGAGCACCTGGGTGGCTCAGGTCATGATCTCACAGTTCATGGGTTCAAGCCCTGCATTGGGCTATGTGCTGACAGCTCAGAGTCTGGAGCCTGCTTCGGATTCTGTGTTTCCTTCTCTGTCCCTCCTCCCCTCCCACTCTGTCTTACTCTCTCTTAAAAATAAATGTTTAAAAAAAAAAAAAAAAAAAGACAGCACAACAAACAGCCTTGTGGAGATACAGCATAGAACAGTTTAAAGCCTGGGGTGTATGGGAGGGAGGTTTTATTTTTTTTACTAATCTGAGAGAGTGTGCGGGAGAGGCAGGGATCCTTGGGAGACTTCTCCAAGAGCTGGCAGGTGCCATTTTCCTCCCCTGCCTTCTAGCCTAAATACATGGACACCAGTGGGAACCAATGCAGGTCCAACACTCACTATCTAACTTGCTAACAGCATGACCTGTCCTCACATTCTCCTACAGACCTACCTCCTCCAATATACTGCTGGCCAGAGCCCATCCACAGCGGTGCCACAAGGGTGGCATCGTGCAAGCAGACTCGACAGGAAGCAGCACCACTCTGAAGTGACCCCTGCCCCAGGGAGAGGGAAAGATAACTACACACAACTATGGCGCCAGCAGTAGGCTGAGGGCAGACAGCTGGTCTCATTGCAGGCCTTGCCCACCAATGAAAGTCTCTCAGGGGAATATACAGGGAAAGCACACAGCAGTGCCTAGTCTGACTCAACTCAAGCTCAAGGTGGCCCCAGACTGATACAACAACAACACAGGGACCAAATCTTGCCCACAACAGGCAAAGACAGCCATGGCTGGAATACTGCAAAAGCAGCTCAATCACAATAGTAGGGCACACTACGCTGTAGGGCATTCCAGGACCTCGTCTTCATAAGGCCATTACTTTCAAGAGCAGGAGATGGAGCTGACTTTCCTGACAAACAGAAACAGATAAGACAGACAAAATGAAACAGAGGGTTCTGTCCAAAATGAAAGAACAGGACAAAATCAAGATAAGAAACTAAATGAACAGAGATAAGAAATAGCAAGTAATGGTCATAAAGATACTCACTGGACTTGAGAAAAGAGGGGAGGATCACAATGAGACACGCAAAAGAGAGATAGAAAACCTAAAAAAGAACGATTCAGAAATGAAGAACTCAATAACTGAAATAAAAAATACACTAGAGAGAATAAATAGTAGAGAGTACAGAGGAACGGACAGGCAACCTGGAGGACAGAGTAATGGAAAGCAATCAAACTGAACAAGAGAGAGAAAAAAGAATAGCAAATGAAAACAGACTTAGGGACCTTAGAAATACCATCAAGCATAATAACATTCATCTTATAGGAGTCCCAGAAGGAGAGAGAGAAAAGGGGGCAAAGAATTTACTTGATGAAATAATAGCTGAAAACTACCCAAATTTGGGAAGGGAAACATATCTAGATCCAGGAGGCACATAGAGCCTCCAACAAAATTATACTAAAGAGGTCACACCAATATACAAAGTAGTTAAAATGGAAAAAAAAAAGTGACACTGGCCGTGTGTAGCAACATGGATGGACCTTGAGGGTGTTATGCTAAGTGAAATAAGTCAGGCAGAGAAGGACAAATACCATATGTTTGCACGTATAGGAGGATTAGGAGGAACTTAACGGAAGACCGTGGGGGAGAAGAAGGGGGAAATAAGAGGGGAGAGGGAGGGAGGCAAACCATGAGAGACTCTTGAATGTTGAGACCAAACTGAGGACTGATGGGTATGGGGGGGAGGGGAAGGAGGGTGATGGGCATGGAGGAGGGCACCTGTGGGGATGAGCACTGGGTGTTATATGGAAACCAACTTGACAATAAACTATTAAAAAAAAAGGAAAAAAGTAGTGACAGCATTTTATAAGCAGCAAGAGAAAAGAAAACAGTAAGAAGCAAGAAAAGTTCCATAAGGCTATCAGCTTATTTTTCAGCAGAAACTTTGCTGAGAAGGGGTGTCATGGTATAGTCAAGGTCAGGAAGGAAAAAAACCTGCAGCAAGGTTATCATTCAGAATAGGAGAGATTAAGAATAACACAAACAAAAGGAATTCATGACCACTATAACAGCCCTAATGTAAATGTTAAAGGAGACTCTGAGTGGAAAGGAAAGACCATAAACAGGAGTAAGAAAAGTAGGAAGTACAAAAGCAGTAAAATTAAATATATATATAAAAATTAGTCAAGGGACTCACAAAATGAAAGGATGTAAAGTATGACACCATATACTTAAAACATGGGAGAGCAGAGAGAAGTAAAGAGTGTGTTCAGAACACTTCCTGAATGGACAGTCCCTGGACAGTCAACGAGCCTTATTATAGCAGTACTTGCACGTGCAGAGCACATAACAAGCTTTTAAAATTAACAAGAGACAGAAAGCTAGCCAAAATGATGAAACGGAAGAACTCTCCTCTAAAGAAATTCCAGGAAATAATGACAGCTAAAGAACTGCTCAAAACAGATACAAGCAACATAACTGAACAAGAATTTAGAACAATAGTCATAAAATTAATCGCTGGACTTGAAAAAGGCATGGAAGACATCAGAGAAGCTACTGCTAAAGACTACAGACCTTAAAAATAGTTGTGATGAATTAAAAAATGCTTGAAGGGGCGCCTGGGTGGCTCAGTTGGTTGAGCGTCCGACTTCGCTCAGGTTATAATCTCATAGTTCCTGGGTTTGAGCCCTGCATTGGGCTCTGTGCTGACAGCTAGCTCGGAGCCTGGAGCCTGTTTCAGCTTCTGATTCTCCCTCGCTCTCTGACCCTCCCCTGCTCATGCTGTCTCTCTCTCACAATCTCAGAAATAAAAAACAAAT